CTAAAGTTTAATTATGATCAGATAAAGCTATATAATCCTAAAAAAGGGAAGTTTTCTCTATATGACTTATGATCATTACCTTGTTTATTATACATATGTACAAGATCATAAACTGTCTTTGGCTTGGTAATGCATTACTAACATTTCAAACTTATGTCTTAGCTTATAGTATCTGGATTTGTCGTTAATAAATGTACTATTTCAGACCCGACACTGGCAGCTCCGGAGCAGATGGCGCTCTCTACGTCCAAGTGGAGCCAACTCTGCATGTGGGACCGCCGGGCGCCCAGAAGACCATTCCCCTCGACTCGGTGCGCTGCCAAACTGTGCTGACTAAGCTCCTGGGACCACTGGACACCTGGGAGGCCAAGCTGCGCGTAGCCAAGGAGGCCGGCTACAATGTGATTCACTTCACTCCCATTCAGGAACTGGGTGGCTCCCGCTCCTGCTATTCGCTGCGTGACCAACTCAAGGTCAACTCCCACTTTGCGACCCAAAAGGGAGGCAAGGTCAGCTTCGAGGACGTGGAGAAGGTCATCAAGAAGTGCCGCCAGGAATGGGGGGTAAGAAATTGTACATGACTGTGCGCAAGACTGTTTTTGTGGTCTTCTACTCATGCCAAACCATTGCACTCTATCAGGTGGCTTCCATCTGCGACATCGTCCTCAATCACACTGCCAACGAGTCCGAGTGGCTGCTGCAACATCCGGATGCCACCTACTCGTGCGCCACCTGTCCCTACCTGCGACCCGCCTTCCTGCTGGACGCCGCCTTTGCCCAGTGCGGAGCGGACATAGCCGAGGGCAGCCTGGAGCACGTCGGCGTGCCCCAGGTCATCGAGCAGGAGTGCCATTTGGAAGCGTTAAAGTACCAGTTGCACACCTCCTACCTGTCCAAGGTCAATATACACGAACTGTATCAGTGCGATGTGATGAAGTACGTCAACGAGTTCATGACCCAGGTGCGTACTCGCGAGCCACCGAGGAACGTGGCCAACGAGTATCGCTTCCAGGAGATCCAACTGATACAGGACCCGGAATATCGACGCTTGGCCAGCACCATCAATTTCGAGCTGGCGCTGGAGATCTTTAATGCTTTCCATGGCGACTGCTTCGATGAGGAGGCCCGGTTCCGCAAGTGCGCCGAAACCCTGCGCCGCCATCTGGATTCCCTCAACGAACGCGTGCGCGCCGAGATCCAAGGTTACGTAAACTATGCCATCGATAATGTTTTGGCCGGAGTGCGCTACGAGCGTGTCCAGGGCGATGGGCCCAAAGTGAAGGAGATCTCCGAGAAACATTCGGTCTTTATGCTCTACTTCACGCACACGGGCACCCAGGGAAAATCGCTCACTGAAATCGAAGCGGATATGTACGGCAAGGGCGGAGAGTTCTTCATGGCTCACAACGGCTGGGTGATGGGTTCCAGTGATCCGCTGCGGGACTTCGCCGAGGAGCAGCCGGGACGCGCCAATGTCTACCTCAAACGCGAGCTCATCTCGTGGGGCGACAGTGTGAAGTTGCGCTTCGGCAGGAGGCCGGAGGATAGCCCCTACCTGTGGAAGCACATGACCGAGTACGTACAGACCACAGCGCGCATCTTTGATGGAGTGCGCCTGGACAACTGCCACTCCACGCCGTTGCACGTTGCTGAGTTCCTGCTCGATGCAGCTCGCAAAATCAACCCGGAGCTCTATGTGGTGGCCGAATTGTTTACCAACTCGGATGGCACCGACAATGTCTTTGTGAACCGATTGGGTATCACCTCCTTGATCCGCGAAGCCCTTTCGGCTTGGGATTCCCACGAGCAGGGACGTCTGGTCTACAGGTATGGAGGAGTGCCTGTGGGTGGCTTTTTTGCGAACTCATCACGACACGAGGCCACCAGTGTGGCCCATGCCCTGTTCCTGGATCTCACCCACGACAATCCGTCTCCGGTCGAGAAGCGTTCCGTTTACGATCTGTTACCCTCGGCAGCACTGGTCTCCATGGCCTGCTGTGCCACCGGAAGTAACCGTGGCTACGACGAACTGGTTCCCCATCATGTAAGTTATGTTCATTTGGTTAAGATATAGTCCAAAAGTAAATCTTTTTATTTCACCAGATCCATGTCGTCGATGAGGAACGTAGTTACCAAGAATGGGGCAAAGGAGTTGACTCCAAATCCGGAATTATGGGTGCCAAGAGGGCGTTGAATCTGCTGCACGGGCAACTTGCGGAGGAGGGCTTTAGCCAGGTATATGTAGACCAGATGGATCCCAACGTGGTGGCCGTTACCCGCCACTCGCCGACCACTCACCAGTCGGTCATTTTGGTGGCCCACACTGCCTTCGGATATCCCTCGCCGAATGCCGGACCCACCGGAATCCGTCCATTGCGTTTCGAGGGCGTGCTGGACGAGATCATATTGGAGGCCAGTTTGACCATGCAGAGCGACAAGCCTTTCGATCGACCAGCTCCGTTCAAGAAGGATCCTAACGTAATCAACGGCTTCACACAGTTCCAGTTGAGCCTGCAGGAGCATATACCGCTGGCGAAGTCAACTGTGTTCCAGACCCAGGCCTATGTGGATGGCAACAACACGCAGCTAAACTTTGCCAATTTGCGACCCGGCACTGTGGTGGCTATAAGAGTGTCCATGCATCCGGGTCCGCGTGCCAGCTTCGATAAGCTCCAGAAGATCTCGAATGCCCTGCGCGTGGGTTCGGGCGAGGAGTGGTCGCAGCTGCAGGAGATTGTCTCCAAATTGGATCTGGTGGCCCTGAGTGGTGCCCTTTTCACCTGTGATGAGGAGGAAAGGGATCTGGGCAAAGGTGGCAACGCCTACGACATTCCCAACTTTGGAAGGATCGTATACTGCGGCCTGCAGGGATTCGTTTCCCTGCTGACGGAGATTTCGCCCAAAAATGACTTGGGTCATCCGCTTTGTAACAATCTGCGCGATGGAAACTGGATGATGGGTGGGTATTTATAAAATAGGATATTGTAAATAGTTACTGATCAGTAAAGTTCTTCCCAGATTACATTGCCGATCGCCTGACCAGCTTTGAAGACTTGAAGCCACTCTCAACCTGGTTTAAAGCCACCTTTGAGCCCCTGAAGAATATTCCGCGCTACCTCATACCCTGCTACTTTGATGCCATCGTCAGTGGGGTTTATATTGTGCTAATCAACCAGGTCAACGAATTAATGCCCGAGTATGTTACGAAGCACAAAGGAGTTAATATAATAATTTCATTATTATTCTTGATTTTCCATAGTTTCATCAAGAATGGTCACAGTTTCACCCAATCCCTGGCCCTGTCCACGCTGCAGTTCCTCTCCGTTTGCAGGTCGGCCAACCTGCCAGGATTTAGTCCTGCCATTGCTCCACCCAAACCACCGAAACAATGTGTGACCCTCTCCGCTGGTTTGCCGCATTTCTCAACGGGTGAGTTAAAAATCTCTTTTGATTTGGGTAATACCAAGGATATCTCTAAGGAAGAAATCTCTAGTGGAATATTAATACATACTTTTATATCCACAGGTTACATGCGCTGCTGGGGTCGTGACACCTTCATTGCTCTGCGTGGCTCCATGTTCCTTACTGGCCGCTACAACGAGGCCCGCTTCATCATTATTGGATTTGGAGAGACCCTTCGACACGGTCTCATTCCAAATCTGTTGGACAGCGGCAGCAAGCCCAGATACAACTGCCGCGATGCCATCTGGTGGTGGATGTACTGCATCAAACAGTACGTGGAGGATGCCCCCAAGGGTGCCGAGATCCTGAGGGACAAGGTGTCGCGCATTTTCCCGTACGACGATGCCGAGGCCCATGCTCCGGGAGCCTTTGATCAGCTGCTGTTCGACGTGATGCAGGAGGCGTTGCAGGTGCATTTCCAGGGATTGCAGTATAGGGAGCGCAACGCAGGCTACGAAATCGATGCGCACATGGTGGACCAGGGCTTCAACAACCACATTGGCGTTCACCCGGAGACTGGATTTGTGTTCGGTGGCAACAACTTTAACTGCGGTACCTGGATGGACAAGATGGGCTCCTCGCAGAAGGCAGGCAACAAGGGACGACCCAGCACTCCTCGCGATGGATCCGCCGTGGAACTCATTGGCTTACAGTATGCCGTACTGCGGTTCATGCAGGGCCTGGCCGAGAAGGAGGCTATTCCGTACACTGGCGTGGAGCGGAAGGGACCGTCGGGCGAGGTGACCAAGTGGAGTTACAAGGAGTGGGCAGATCGCATCAAGGAGAACTTCGACAAGTTCTTCTTCGTGTCCGAGTCGGAAACCTGCTCGGTAGCCAACAAGAAGCTGATCTACAAGGACAGCTATGGAGCTACCCAGAGCTGGACGGACTACCAGCTGCGATGCAACTTCCCCATCACTCTCACTGTAGCCCCCGAGCTGTGCAATCCCCAGAATGCCTGGCGTGCACTGGAGCGGGCCAGGAAGTTCCTGCTGGGACCGCTGGGCATGAAGACCCTGGATCCCGAGGACTGGAACTACAGAGCCAACTATGACAACTCAAACGACTCCACCGATTGCACAGTCGCCGATGGCGCCAACTACCATCAGGGGCCGGAGTGGGTGTGGCCCATTGGTTTCTACCTGAGGGCGCGCCTGATCTTCGCCAAAAAGTGTGGTCACCTGGACGAGACCATTGCCGAAACTTGGGCCATACTGCGGGCTCATCTAAGAGAGCTGCAGACATCGCACTGGCGGGGATTGCCCGAGTTGACCAACGATAACGGCTCCTACTGCGGAGACTCCTGCCGCACGCAGGCTTGGAGTGTCGCCGCCATCCTTGAGGTACTCTACGACCTGCACTCCTTGGGAGCTGATGTGGCCTAAACCACCTAAAATACTCATACTCAGACCTGATAGTTGCTACCAAAAACTGTTGTTAGTGTTACATTTGATAATTGTACGGATACAAAATGGAATGAGATTCGGTGCCAGATGTCCCTCAAAAATTTTGCTATTTCCTATTCTATTAAAGTTGCAATTGTTTTTAAGCGATGGATGTTTCTTTTTCTAAGAGAAGTAGCTATCCCGGCACACACGCATGCAGGAGCACTGGGGAGGATCGATGGAGCCAAAGTTCTTTCGAGGAATGTCCCGTCCCACAAAATTGAGCGGTGTGGTGACCTCGGAAACCCTGGGTATTTTCTTTTGGGAAACCACGTCCTGGGAAATTGGCTTGGCAGGCGGCATAGGCAATTGCTTTTCACTCCTTATTTTTGACTTATCGTCCTCTATTTTGAGCTTAAAAGCCATATTAGTCTTGGTGAATTTCTCGGTGTCTGGTAACTACTCACTTTGCCACATTTCCTCAAGGCTAAAATGGCTGCCTCGCATGTTAAATCATATGCTTTCTGCAGAAAAATTTTCTGGACAACATCAAAAACTAGGGACATTTTGATGGGCTTACAAAAAATCTGGGCTATTGTTAAACACGAAATTTTGTTAGGAACTGAACGAGAAATTTGACACAACATTCACAAGTAATATGAACTGTATATATTTGTATGTATATACCTACCTAGTCTGCAATCTCTTATAAACTAAATAAATACGTGTAAAGTCTATGTACATAAAGCTTTGCATAACTTGTAGACTATCCACATTACGTAAGCAGCGGGGCTTGGGTTCCATTTGGACTCGCTTGGTAGGAGTCGTTTTCAGTGGTTATCTCGGTATCGTCATCTTTGATGGACTTGAGATCGCGTCCTATACTCTCCATGTTCAAGCTTAAGGCAGCTGCGGCCACATTGTTTTTCACTTCATCGAGCTTGGGCTCACGGAGGCAGTTTTCCTCGTCGGAAGCCTCACGTTTAACCCTAGCCGGTGGTTGCTCAGTCGAATCTCTCGAAGTTCGAAGGTTGAGTAGCTCCCTGCGGATGGCCTCCACGTTGTCTTCGAGGTTGGGCTTCATAACTACCGAGTCATTAATCGCCTTTGACTGAGTTGCATTTACCATTAGTGCCAGTGGGATAGGTAATCGTTTGATCAAAGCAGCTGTGTCTACGCTCGAGTTTCTGAGTAGCTCTCCGGTCTTGTAGGAGAGAGGTTCGAAAACGCCAGCATGGGCTTCCTTCTCATCGCGCAAATGAGTATTTTCCGTGAGTATGTCCATTAAGGATGCCTTGGGCTTGCGAACCTCATTGTCCTGAGCAACAGGTGACTCCTTGAGCGCATCCTCCGGTTTCTTTACCTCTTCAGCAACTTTAGCGACGACCTCTAGAGGCGCCTTTTTGTCTAACTCCAAAGGTTCCTGGCCGAGTGGATTGTTTTTCGCCAGCTCTTCGTTCAACTTGCCCACGGTTTTGGCCAGCAGCTTCTTGGTCTCTTTAAGCTCTTTCTGCGTCTTCAGCAGCTCATCCGCACTGGCCTTACTCTCCTTTTGCTCCTCGGCGGCAACTTCTTCTTCTTTCTTGATGGCCGCTCCATCAATTGTATTGCTTGCTACTTGACTTGATCCTTCCTTCGGACTATCCGGTTGTGCTGCAACAACAGCAGGTGGATTATCCTTGGGCTTATCCGCGGTCAGGTTAACATCGACTGGTTTAGCTTCTGGTGGGTTTACGGCTATGGCCGCTTCTGGTAGTTTTTTAAGATCACTTTCAGCATTAATACTTTCTAAGGGAACTACATGGACTTCATCGATGGGCAGTGGAGGCAGCGGTGGGTTGTCGGAGGAAGCGGTTTGCTCTACCTTTGACTTGTCAGGTATCTTTTCTTCCACAATTTCCTTAATTAACTCTGGATTTTGGACTTCCAGCTTTTTCAGCAATAGATTTTTATCATTGTCAATTGGATCTTTGGCCAAATGTTTGGGCAGCTCGCCGACTACAGCGGGAACTTGACCATCGGGATACAGGGGAGTAACTATCGGAACCATATCGAACTCCGGGCCCGAGCTCTTCTCATCAATAGCATTCAGGTTGGCATAAGTTCCTAGGATCATCAAAAGGAATCCACTTACAAATACAAACTGGGCCAGCGTACGCTCCATCGATTCCTTTTTGATGATTTTTCGAAAACTGGAGGCGGGAAACATAATGCAAATGGCCACGCCAATAGTGGAGCCCACCAATCCAATGATCAGCTCCACTGAAGGAATAACCAATGCCACGCATAGCGAGAAGACAACAATGAAGATGGTGATAAGCCGAAAGCGTTGCTCAGGAATGTAACTACTGCTCTCCGAATGACCCTATCAATAAAGATACATTAATTTCTACTGTATTACATTTAACGCACGGAATTACCTTTCTGTATAGCAGTGAATAGAGACTGGCCCTGCATGGAAAGATAACCAGGGGAAAGCTGAAAGCAATCGACAGCACAAAACCTATTTTGATGATATCGCTGCCAAAGGAGGTCGATAAATTCACCAGAATGTTGCCTAAAAGCACAGAGCCAAATATGTAGATCACAAAATGCGTCAAAAAGCTGGTTGGCCTTACCCGAAAAGGTGTGCGTACAGAAAGCCACATATCCGAAAAAGCCAACGGATATGTAAACAAAGGTACAGATCCAAGTGGCATTGCGCACGATGCCGTTTAGCTTGTCGAGACTCTGGTTGTTTATGCTCTCGAAGACCTCAAACAGTTGCCTACGGATTGATGAAATATTAAAGGGTACCGAATAGAGAAAGCTGGAATGCACACATTTGGCAGGAGAGCGCCATGCTGAAGATGGGCAGGCACTGGAGCACGCCCGCTGGCTCCCAGTAGAGCACCTTATCCGTCCAGTCGTTGGCAGTGATGTGGGGCTTGGCCTCCAGCACGATCTTCAGTATGAGGCAGACGTAGAAGCCAATGGAGGCGGTGCACACGGCGGACAAACTGTCCACGTTCCGGAGCATGCCGAGCGGCACTATGCAGACCACCGTGACCACGATCATGACCTGATTAGAGTTAGGTTATTTATCTGTTCTTGGCAGGAAACTCGAATGTCTTACCAAACTCCGCAAATGCAGGTGATCCGCCACGTTTAGAGTGAAAATCTTGGCGATTATCTGCGGCCCCAGATCGCCCACGACCACGAAGTACGTGATGCACGTTCCGATCAGGTAGCCAATGATGCACAGCTCCACCAGCAACTTGCCGGAAAGGCCAAAGGCATGGAGACCCAACATCTCAAAGCTCTTCCTACGTGTCAGCAGCGAGGTTTTGATAAGATAGTGGCAGCAAACGCGTGTGATTCCGTTGCTCAGCACCAGGAGGACGATGGACAGCAGGATGCCGCACTTCTGGAAGCAGAAGGGCATGGCCAGGATGCCGACGCCAATGATGCTGTTGGCCAGCGTCATCACATGGGCGGAGTGGGCCAACATTTTGCCGGGAGTTCTCCGCGCTTTCTCTGGACTCCGGTTCGGTACGATTTAGCTTTCCGTTTCAAATCCTCGTGGGCGTCTGGCCGCGTATGCAAAAACGATAGCGAGACAAAGAGCAGGGTCGTACTGATTGCCGCCCACCTGTCAATATCTGATAGCACTGCGATACGGCGGGAACTACGTACTTGTTACTCCGAAACTTGGGGCTATCGACGACTGCACTTGTGTAAGCAAAATTGTAAACAAAATAGTCCGGCGGCGGCGACGACGACGGCGGCGGTGGAAGAGACGTTGGCGCTTACATTGAGTGGGCAGAAGTGTATGTGCTTCAGCAAACATTTGTTCCAATTACGTGTGCGTACGGTGCGCTGGCAGCGTGCTTGCGCATTTTTACGGCCGCAAGAAAGTTTTAAAGCGAATTGTTTGTGTCGTCATCATTGTTTTGCCAGTGTGGCCAGTTTGCGGGAGTTGTATTTAGCCAGGCGGAAGGGGGATTCCGGTATTGAGACAGGAGCGGATTGAGGATCTTGCAGGTCCACCACGAATAAGAAAACGCAATAATTATTGAAACAAAATTCTTTTAGAATGCGAATACGTTCTGGTATAAGTTCTATCGATTTAAGAAGATACTAAATACATGATGATTCTATTATAAATGATCAAATGATTTGAGCAAAGTTATCAATGATTGCCATGAACTTACATTAATAACAATTATAGCGTTTTAAAAGCTTATTCATTTTATATGAAAAGCCATTAGCGAGAATTCTTACCTACATACTTCAATATAAATAAACGTAGATACTTCTTCAAAAAAATATTATTCCTAAAATTACATATATTCTGCCTACACTTTTTCCAAGCCAACACCGCAAAATTTACTTTATCACCTGGTTATAACGTGTTTTTATTTTAGCAGGAATATATCACAAAGGAATGGATTTCCAAAAGAACAACTAGCCCAAAAATATTGTATCGAAATATCAAGTATTCTTTCAGGTAACATTAAATTTGAAGTTTAAATATTCCTAAAATAAGATAATAGCTTTAGCATCAAGAGTATTTCCTACTTTCAAATTATACATTTTGTTATAGGTTATTAACTTAACATTGATTTTTGGAAAGTTTGTATGAAAATCATTTTGAGCTACGAGAGTATCGAAACAAAAACTTTGTCAAGAGCAGAAAAAATCGGCAAATCTCTGCGGTTGGAGTTTATATACGTAGGAATTTAAACCAAAGAGATTTCCTTATAGCCGGTACGGTACAATACGGTACAAAGTTGGTATTTCAGCGGCGCTTCACCGGGGTCACACCGAAAGTCGATGTTTGCACACCTCATCGACGGCCACACCAATTTTCTTGTTGTTTCGAACACGAGCAGACGTGCTCGCGCACCTCTGCCGGAAAATAATCCAATAAATGTGCAAGAAATTCGGTTTCGCCTGCAAACCAACGAGTGCGGAACACTTTCCACGACGCATTCGCACATTTTCAAGCCCGGATGCCGTGTAGAGATGGTGATATCTTGTGATTAAAATTCTCCCCGTCTGAGGTACGAAAAAATGTGAAAAAGAAAATGTCTGCCGCGCGGAGAATCGACGCGCACACCCATACAAAGAAGCGACGCCGCCATGTCGCTGCATATAGTCGTCTTGCTCTGGCAGCCGGGATTCGGCACCTTCCGTGTGTATGTGTGAAGTGCTTATTTTGAGCGTTTAGTTCTGGTGAAAATTTTGAAAATCATGCGAACAATGGAAAATGTTTTGCAAAGAATATCGGTTCTCCACATTCCCTCTGCGGAAGTGGAAAAACGCGCGTGTGTGTGAGGCATGGAAAATCCCAGGACGCAGGGTTGCATTTCCCGGTTTTCAAGGGGTGCATTCGGTGCGATAAGCGCTTTTTTTGTTCGTATTAACATGACTATGGTTTTATTTGCCCGTCACATTGATAATGGATATTACGCAGTATAAATGGTAAAATCATAGGCGTCAGTGCAAATTAAATGGGTTCTAAGTTCTGACCAGGGCTGCAGCATCGCCACATGTGCTCGGCGGGCCACCTTTTTTTTCCCGCCAACCGCTGTCATTTCAAAATAATACTGGGAACTCACACCCCCTTTTTGGTTGTTGTTGTTCTTTTCAGATGTCTCAAACATGAATGAAGGTAATTC